ACACTTATAACTTATCATTTTCTTGGGCCTATATTGACTTGCTTGGCATATATTGGACTTTCTTATTCTTATTTCATCAATTATTTATTTCTGGACTCTACCGGTTGCTTAAACAGCAGTACAAAATACCCGGTAGAAACACTATTCACGAGATTTTCACGGAAAGTGCCAGACTATACAATTTTTTATTCTGAACTCATATTTGTCATCAGAATTTTCAAATTATGTTCCTAAAATTATTTTTCTCATTTTAAGCTCTACCGGTTAATTCACAAAACTGTAAATTCTCCGGCAGAACGCACTGTTCATAACATAGTCATGATTACAGTCAAAATACTCGAAATCGCTCACTGAATCTAATTATGGCATTTAAATCCTTAAATTAAATCTCTAACTAAGATTTACCAGTTAGGGTCATTATATGAGGAGTCTTCATCCCAAACCATATATGTTTTTCTTCCTTTCTTCTTCCCTTTACTTGTCCTTTTGTCACTTTTAGGCTTAGATTGAAGTGTAGGACAATCATTCTTGTAGTGGTCTTGCTTTCCACATTCAAAACAAGTAACTTGTGCATTTGATGAGCTTGAATCTCCTTTAAACTTTCCTTCGACAGCTCCTCCTTGTTTTCTTTTTAGGTAGTTTTTCTTGTTAAAGAACTTGCCAAATTTTTTGAAAAAGAAAGCCATTTGTTCCTTGGAGGTAGTAGACTTGAAAGCAATATTTTTTATCTTTTTTTTTGGATTGATCCCTCAAGGCATGTCTCTTCATCTCAAACTCATATTCATGAAGCTTTCCAAAGAGAGTGTCTATTTGCATTGTCTCCAAATCTTTTGATTAACAGATAGCCGACACCTTAGCATCTCACTCCTTTGTCATGCACCTCAAGATTTTGTTGACAAGTTGCTCATCATTGTAGTGGATACCTAAAGCATTCAATTTTGTAATGACGTGAGTAAAATGTTTTTCCAAATCATAAACACTCTTGTCATCAAGCATCTCAAAAGTTTCATATTCTTTAGTAAGAGCATTTTGTTTAGACCCTCATGTGTGAGTTCTAAAACTTTTCACATCTCCTTAGCAGTTTTATAAGAGGAAATCCTAAAATACTCATCTCTATCTAGAGCATTAGTTATAAGATTTTTTGCTTTAGCATTTCAGTGGGCTTCCTTAAGTTCTTGACTATTAAACTCTTTGGCCTTTTTAGGAACCCTATTACCATTATCACCTAAAGCAGTACGAATTTCATATTTGTAACGCCCCGTCTGCAGCCGATTAATTAACATTCATATGATAGTAAGCGCAACATGCTCAATTTAATTAATGCGGAAGCTAACTAAATAAATTTTCTCTTTTTCCTTATGTATTGCAAACTTTTTTTCACTTCCATGGCCAAAGTAAAACGGACAACATTTTGTCTGTATTTTGGACCACTGGGGATAATTCCCACCATGAAAATTTTAACCCGATTGATAGTTTAATATAATCCAGGCATGCCACATCATAGATAAAACATACTGCTCAGCCATCCATGGCCTAAGCTATCTCATAATCATACTGTCTCAAAATAATGTCCATGATGTTACTTATATAATTACATCAAATAGACAAAAGACATGCAATTAAATAAGTAACATAGATATAACACCTCATATTTCTAAAAAAAATATTAATATATTAAATGTGGATTAAAGGGCAAGATTAGTGAAAATCCAGAAATTAATGTCAAAATACAAAGGAAGGGTAAAACGGTAATTTGCCAAACACATAACCCTAGGAAGGTAAAATTAAGTAGGAGGTCTCAAATGATAAAACTAACCCTGGAAATGGATTCGGAACGAAAAATTGAGTGGTTAGGCAAGTTTCTGAAATTTCAGTGAATAGTGTTTTTACCAAGTAAAAATATCGCGGTACAGTTGCATCGTGAAGCGTTCCGATTGAATTTTGAGCTCTAGATTTGGATATAAGTTATAAATGGTACATAGGACTAGTAAATATGATTTCTGATGAAAATTGACGGGAATTAGTGTGGTTGGGAAAGCGTGCTCATGACGCGCATAAAGCTTAAAACTTGAATGAGAGGCCCTGCTCTGATACCACTTGTAACGCCTGGCAACCTGCAAGAATCAACGACTATCCCCACACACTAACACGAGACTTTTCAACGTGCTTTGTCCTCACTCGCACATTTCCCGGGAAAACTTTCCGGGAGGTCACCCATCCCAGAATTGCTCCAAGTCAAGCACGCTTAACTGTGGAGTTCTTCCGATCCGGGCTACCGAAAAGTAGATGCATCTTGTTAGTATAGGTAGTATCAATTGATTCTTATAAGCCATTCCCAACTGTATAGAGACCAAAATGGTGTAATTTGAGTGAGTATAGCTCAAGTTATGAGTGGAAAACCATAGGTAGGTTAAATGACCTTGTTTTGGGTCACCCAGCCCTGTGGATGGCGCCTGGGGCGCCAGATTCACGCTTGGGGCGCCAAATTACAGAACCAGACAGTAGCATCCACGCTGAGGGTGCCACTCCCATGCTGGGGGCGCCAACTTTCTGTTTTCCCACGCTCTGGGCGTGGATCCCACACTACGGGCGCGAGGTTCGAAAGATTTTGCACCCCTTTTCCTTAGAAAATGCATAACTTTGGCTACGGTGCTCCGATTTGAGAGCGGTTTGAACCTACGCGTAGCTAATGAAAAATACTATAACATAGTAGAAGATGAGAATCATAAAAGAAGTGTAGAATTAATTTGATAATTAAAGAGATGAAGACATTCAACGACGTATTATCTAATATACGGGGAATATAATATTAAGTTTAGTCCCATTATTCCGCAAAGCATATATGGTTATGATCACACACTTGTTTATATTAAATTCGGCACGTTTTAAAAGGAAAAATTTATTCGGAATTTAATTGAACCATGTGATTGTAACTACGCTTAATGTCGTACGCAATGATAACAATCCGGTTCTAGAACGGGGTGTTACAGTGGTCAGGTTGTATGATATGTATGAGATATATGATATAGATGCATTCATATAGAGCTATATGATAATATGATATGTTTACTTTGATATGTGTTAATATGATATGTTTTGTTTTGATGTGTTTACTTTGATATGTGTTAATATGATATGTTTTGTTGAGTTCCGCTTGGGTCTACCCTTGGGAACACGTACACTGATTCCCACTTGGGGTCCTCCCCTGGGATTGACTGTGTACACATTTGTTATATGACTTGTTCTGATATGATTTCTGTATTGATCTTTGGCTAGAATTGACTTGTACGGTACACTGATGTCTTCTTGGGTTCCCCTGAGATTGACGGTGTACGCCTATGATATGTTCTGGTTTCGCTTGGGGTCCTCCCTTGGGAACACGTGCATTGATTTCCGCTTGGGGTCCTCCTTTGGGAATTACTGCGTACGCCTCTGATATGTTCTGGTTCCACTTGGGGTCCTCCCTTGGGAACACGTGCGTTGATTTCCGCTTGGGGTCCTCCCTTGGGAATGTCTGCGTACGCCTCTGATATGCTCTGGTTCCGCTTGGGGTCCTCCCTTGGGAACACGTGCGTTGATTTTCGCTTGGGGTCATCCCTTGGGAATGACTGCGTACGTCTCTGATAAGATTTGTGTATATGCTTTGTTTAGTTATGATATTTGATTATATGATATGTTATACGAGATATGTTCGATATAGTATGATATATGATGTTTTGTATATTATATATTTGATTGTCATGCAGGAAGTGAGCCTAGGGTATGAAGAGTTCTCTATAAACCTAGAGCTTACTAGAGATTCGTCTCTAACCCTGTTTGGGGATATGATTTCAGGAACACAGTTAATTGAAGAGCCCTCATGGGACAAGGACACTACCCGTGGCTAGAGGTACTAGTATAAGGATATGGAGTTCTGGGTGGCCGGACGCTACTATCTATTATTTATGATATTTCGTATTTCATTATTTGTGGATCATGATGTCTGATCCTTTATTTTGTATATGGCCTGTATATAGTTTGTACATGTTTTCTGTTTTGGTGCATGTACAATTATGTATTCAGGCATGTTTTTTGTCCGATGTATTATTCAGTTATATGCTTACATGTTGGATTTGCATGCTGTTAGACATAGTGGCACGGAGCCAAGTTATGCATGCGCCCATGGATGGGTATAGAGTCCTTTATAGATATCTGGTATTTCTGAAATTATATATGGTATAAACTGTTTATCAAGAACCTTTGAGAGTGGGATTGGCAAATCCCCAGTTGTCCAATTTATAAAGGTTACTCTGCCCGATTTTCGTCTTCGTCAAATACGAATTAAATTAGGAGAAATATGCAATGCGAGATATCATGTGAATTAAGAATAATTAGAAGTAAAAGAAAAAATTAGCTCGTATTTTCGAAAGTTAAGTCTTCCGCTGTTTCTGTTTGTATCATATGTATGTTAGTTGAACCGACTCGAGACGGAGATGTTACATCGAGACATCGGGGCCTAGTCAAACTTAGAGAAACGATTGTCATCTCTAGAAAGAATAATAATTAAGAGTTAACAACAAGTGATATGTGAGCCTTGGGAAAAATCGAATCCTAGCTACATTTTTTCTATTATTTACAAAAATTCAATTGCAATCTTGTTTTCTTATTTTTAATTATTTTTTTATTTCAATAATTGCTTTAATTGAACCTTTACACCACTTCACAATTATCTTCCAACCTACTTAATTTTTCCAACTTAAAAGAAATAATAAAAATAGTGTTTCAAGCCCCTAATCTTCATGGGATACTTTACTCACCTCTATTAATTGTGTGACCAGTGCACTTGCAACAACAACCTTGTGATACAAAAATTGAACTCAATACAAAACATTTTCTTGTTTAAAAAGTAACAACTATTTATTCCCATGCAAGCACATGAAAAAGAAATTCATTCTAGGACTAAAACGTTAGTAGCGATTTTCAAGCAATATCATTTAAAAGTAGGCTATATTGAGGCAACATTATGCAGCTTCCTTAAGCTTCCTTGTGATTGTGGCAATATAATGTCCTTGGTGGAATGCTTGCTTCAATTCAATCTCAGTTGGCTCCCTTAAGCCACCATTACCAGCATATGTTCCTGCACCATATGGACTTCCACCTTTCAGTTCCTCCATCTCAAACATGTCAGGACCAAATGTGTATCCCATTGGAACAAATATCATTCCATGATGAACCAACTGAGTTATAGCAGTGAGCCTGTCATAGATTCCATAAATTTTATTATCATTCTCAGAAAATTGACCAAGAAACTACATTCAGATAGAGTTTCTTACGCTGTAGTCTCTTGTCCACCACCTTGTGTACCAGTGCTGAAGAAGAATCCAGCAGGCTTTCCTGCAAGTTCTTGTTTTTTCCATAGAACGCCAGTAGCATCAAGAAAAGCTTTAAACTGAGCAGCCATCATTCCAAATATTGTTGGGAAGCCAAAGGCAAAACCATCAGCCTCAGGGAGTTCCTTTGGGGTAATGATTGGTACATCACTCTTGGATGATGCTCTCAATTTACCAAGCCCCTCAATTGTTAGTGTTTCAGGTACCTGCTCATAGGTTCAGTGAAGTCAACAAACAGCTGCATTTTTTTTTCAATAATAAAGTTGTTTACTACCCTTCAGAAAATTGTATAGGTTGATTTTGAAAGAACATTGTGGCCACAAAAAGTGGCTTTGAAAGGAAAGTAGCAACCAATAAATTCCAATCCTACTTTGTGACAGTCAGATGGAAGGAACAATCATATTAAAAACATTTTATCAACCTTAACTATATAACACTGAAACCAGGCAAATGCAGGCACCGTTTTTTTTTTTTTTTTTTATGTTTATTGCCAGAGGAGCGAGCCTTAGCTCTGGAGTGGATGTTGTTCATCGTTTGCAATTTTATGCTATGACAAAGTGCAATGCACAAGATTAGGAAATGCGATACATGCCTGCCATAGTTTGGACTCAACACCTTCTACAGAATCAGCACCTTTCTTTATTTCCTCAGCTAGTCTCTCCACATGCCCATACATTGAGTAGTACCTGTCAGAGTAATGGAAAAAATTTCATTTTGTAAATAAAGCTGATAGAAACTTGCTCAATAATTCACTTTTAGGAAGAAATGAAAAAGGCAACTGAGCAATTTTGTTGGGGACAATATAAAAGAAAAGGTAAATGTAGATCATTAATAAAATGTAGACACTAGACAGCGCTAACATCAAGGTTATAATTTATCAGTAGATAATCATACAGAAAACAACACATGAAGAAAACGAGAGTGAATAACATATCAGATAAAAAATTAGATGATCCTATGTCTAAAATGCTGATCACTTGGTACTTGTCATTTTGTGAACCTCTAAACATCTAATTTGTAAATTTGCTTGAATAAATTCCATATATCTAATGCTAAGATTTCTAATATCAATCAGTAGTCATATAATTGAATTTTCCTATGCTAATAGTGTATTGTATTCATTTTTCGTTTAGAAATGAAAATTAGCTTGAGGTTAGTTATCTGTCATCGAGGGCATTCATGGCTGTCCATAGATGACAATAACTGCACTCGCATAAAAAATAAAGACACTCAGATTATAAAGGCACACATAAAAACGTTGAAAACTTTTTCAACTAACTTGTAGCAGTATTTGGAGTGGTTCATTCAACTTAGTAGCCTAAATATACACACATAAAAGTGAAGAGAAAAGTGTTTCTCCTTTCACAAGAAATAAAATTATCTCACGTAACTCTAAAACGATATTATTTTGGGATTTAAGAAAAAAAATTCAGGCTATTTTGAAAATTTTATTTTCCTTTTGGATCATAAATTTTACTTTCCTCTTGTATCATAAATTTTACTAAAATACACTGCTCTTCTTTCTTTTTTCCAAAAATGTCATTTTCGGATTTGGGAGAGATAAATCCGGTTGAGAAACGTTGATCCCAAAATGGAAATAGCACAAACATACACAAGATATCTCCATCTTCAAATATTTTAATACTGTTAAAAATACCATGCCCAAATCAAAACAATGAAGCAAACGGAAACAGATTGGAAGTGTGCTTTGACTAGAAGATGATTTAATTGAACTGCCCAACGATATGAAGAACTATTCAAGAAGCCAATTACTCTAGAGAACGAACTTACAAATAAGGATAGTGTCTTCAACTTTATTTCTCGGACGTATCTCAGACAGAGTATAAAAAAAGAACAGAGCCAAAACAAGAATGCATAAAATCCAAGAATGTTATACCAAGATTTTCAAAAAACATTGAAAATTTGGAAGACTTCAAATTTAAGAACCCATTAAAGAAGAAAAAGAAACCCAGTGAACAAAATTCCATATTGAGCACCATGCATGGAACTTAAAAGAAAAAAGAAAAAAAGAGAGACAGGAATCAACTCCAATGACAAAGACAACGAAAGCCAGAGATTAAAGCAGACGATAAACAAAGTCTAACAAGATTTTTCTTTTTTCTTTAAAAAAAAAAAAAGCAGTTAGTGATGACAAGAACAGAAGAAAGGTTAAAAAAAGTGCTTACACAATATAAACTTTGACAGCCATTGATGATTCTCCATGTTCTTTGTGCTTCTCTTCTTTCTCTCTCGACATTATTCGTAGCTAAATGAAATGAACAGTTGAATGTGAAGAATGTGAAATAGCGGGAGTGCAAGCCTAAATACGTAATTTTTTTATTTAATTTGCAATAAATTAATTTTTTTTTGCCTAACTTTGTAAGAATTAAGATCACTTCTTTAACAATGCCCAAACTATCGAAAAAGTGTTTAATTATTATTAAAATTAAGGGAAAAAAGTATCTAACGTTACTTTAGATAACTTTATCTAATGTTCATTAAAACGACGTCGTTTTAGGGTTAAAAAATTTAAAAATTAGAATGATAAAGACTATTATAACCCTGAAATAAACTAAAATTACAAAAACACCATGATTTCCGCCCCAAAACGACGTCGTTTCGGTGAACATTAGATAAAGTTATCTAAAGTAACTTTAGAAAACACAAACCCTAAAATTAATTAATGAATAATTTGTTAAAACTTGTTATCGAGAAAGAGGGAAAGTAGGGTGTTTATAATTTGGAAAAACATTTTCACATGTTACATGAGAATTCAATTTTGATGTTGTGACTTTTTGATTTGCGTGCAAAACTTTTTTTTTTTTTAATAAATGTTAGGTCCATCATTAGTTGAGTCACAACATGAGAATTCAATTCTCATACAACATAAGAATTCAATTCTCATACAACGTGAGAAAATCAAAAGCCCTTATAATTTACCCTTGAATTAATGATCTAATACAAATTTAATTATGCAGTACATTTTACTATAATAATTGTAGAACTTCTAAGCTGGAACGTGACCTCATAATTGGGCTTGGTCCAAAGTCAAGGTTATATAATAGAGTTTAAATTTGATAGCCTCATTTTTCTCTGTTTATGTCTTACTATCGATAGAAATAAAGATATGGACTAACCTCACCAATGGTAATAAAAAATAGAGTGATGTTATCAAAAAAAAAAAAAAAAAAAAAAAATAGAGTGTACCAAAAATCAAAAGCTAAGCCAGAGAAAACATAATCTTATCCTCCTCCTTGATATTTTTTTTATTTTTTTATTTTTTTATTTATTTATTTATTTTTGAAACTCCAAACTCTGACCTTGTCACTTCATGCTTGCCCTCAGAAAGGACACTGGGGCATTATTTTTCCAAGCTAGTTTTGTAAACTGAATCTACCAAATTAACTTCCTTCAATTTCACAAACTTTCTTATAGCATTGTGCTTATCATTTATAAGCTTATTCTTTCTTGCTGAGCATAGTACTTAATTAATGTAATGAATAACTTATTATTGGCCCTCATGATAGTAGCATTGTTTTGATGCTGTCCCAAATCAATATATTTATTTTGAGCCAAATACCTTGATTTAATGTTTCTGTAACTTCAAAGAACTTGACCATTAGCTCAGTGGAGTAGACTTTTGCAGATGCTCTTCCAAACATGTCTCTTGAATGTATCTATGCTTGTTTATTGGCTTTAACACAATAACATTCACAAAAGGGGAATACAAAAGAAGGAAACAAGCATTTCTTAAGCCTAAAAGATAAGACTAACAAACTTTATTCATTCAACAAATATCAATGACAACTGCCACGTGTAACAGAAAAGTAGAACTCAATACAAAGCGTTTTCTTTTTGGAAAATGAAAATCAATACAAAGCTTCAACATATTACTTGCAAGCACAAAAGAACAGAACTCAATACATTTTAGGACTAAAACATGGTTAACGATATTCAAGCATCCTTTGATAGTATTATGTTGACGCAACATTATGCAGCTTCTTTGAGCTTCTTTGTGATGGTTGCGATATACTTCCCTTGATGGAATGCTTGCTCCAACTCAAGCTTAGTTGGCTGCCTTGATCCATCACCAGCATAAGTTCCTGCACCATATGGACTTCCACCTTTCAGTTCCTCCATCTCGAACATTCCAGCACCGAATGTGTATCCAATTGGAACAAATAACATTCCATGATGAACTAACTGAGTTATAGCAGTGAGCCTGTCATAAATTACACAATTTCTCATCATTAACATTTCATTCGTCTAATGAATTTGATTAAGATATTACATGAGGCCGTGCATAAGGTTATCAGCTATTGAGATACAAATTATTGGGAATACATCCTCTCATTTGTAATTTAACATGATCAGTTCATACGAGAGAATCTTAACCATTTATAGACAAATAAACCATGATGAAAGAGAAATAGTGTTGGAATAGGGAATGACAAAAAAATAACCGTTGATTTGTCCATGATTGGTTGAGATTGCCTCTCATCACATGATCCTATTAAATAACAGGATCCATTCCATAAATTATGGGTGATTGGAGAAAGCACTAGACTAAAAAGTGATCACCCTTTATTTATATCTTAATTGCTGAAAACTCTAATATAACCTCATGTCATATAAGAGGATCCATTCCACATATTTAGGTAGAGGCTCTTACGCTGTAGTCTCTTGTCCACCACCTTGGGAACTGGTGCTGTAGAAGATTCCAGCAGGCTTTCCTGCAAGCTGTTGAGTTTTCCATAAACCCCCAGTTGCATCCAGAAAAGCTTTAAATTGAGCAGCCATCATTCCAAATCTTGTTGGGAAGCCAAAGACAAAACCTTCACCCTCAGAGAGTTCATTGGGGTTAATGATTGGTACATCACTCTTGGGTGGTGCTGTCATCTTACTAAGCACCTCATCTGGCAATGTCTCAGCTACCTGCTCTTAATGTTAAATAAAGTCAACAAAGCAAATTTCAACAACTTAGCATCCCTTCTCAAATTTAGCATGAGCTAATTTGGGAAGTAAAGCCTTAATCACAGAGACTACAAAATATAGCAAAACTAGTTACATTATGTTATTGGAAAACCAAAGCCAATGGAATCCTCCTGATAGAGTTCCTGGTATAGGTAGTGTTGAAAGAACAGTGATTGAAAAGCAGTTTTGGGAGGTCATGAACCATTGGGAAATATGATCACAATAAAGAGAAATTTTGAACCCAACCTTGTGACAGTTAGATGGCTAGAACAATGATATTGAAAGCAATTATGAACCATAAGCGTAATGTCATGAACCAACTCTCTCTCAAAAGGGTAAGCTGATGGGTAAAAACACAAGAAACATTTTTATTATATTTCTAACATATTTATATTATATCAACACCTAACTCTCTAGAATGGATGTTGCTATGTATTTGCAATTTTATTCAATGAAAAAATTGAATGCAATGGAATAGAATCTGCGATACATGAGATGAAACATAAATATACATGCCTGCCATAGTTTGGCTTCAACACCTTCAACAGAATCAGCCCCTTTCTTTATTTCTTCTGCTAGTCTCTCAACATGCCCGTACAATGAGTAGTACCTGTCAAAGTAATGGAAAAATTTTCATTTTGTTAAGAATGGTGACCAGAAATGGATTAACAAAATTCCCTTTTTCTTTTACTCTTAATGTTTGATGACACAGAAATATGGAGCAAACGACCAAGAAAATATAAGTCAAAGAATAACACTGAAGATAAACAAAGATTAACAAATTAAAGAAAAGCAATTCATGTTGATAAGAATTGTTAAAAAAAAAAAAATGCATACACAATATAAACTTTGACTGCCATTCTTGATCTTCAAAGGTCTCTCTGCTTTTTTTTTTTCTCTCTGTTTCTTTCTATGCTTAAGGAACACCTAATTCGAGGAATGCAAATTCCAAGCAGCGCAACCCATATTTATAGTTGAAAATAAGATTTGATTAAGGTGGCTTGACTTTTTAATTAGGGAAAAAAACTACACTGTTGCTACGAAAATGATTGATGATGATATGGTGGCGTCATGCTCACCGTGAACTTGAACTATTTCAAATCTATAATTTCATGTGTAACGCAGTGTGGTTTAAATTATGACTTAATCATTACGTGGTGTTTTATGTTGTATAAAACTAACTTTTACTCGAGCTTTCAAACCTGCAAGTGCTTATAATGAGATCTGAATTCCTACATTATAAATAAAATTTGCTTACATGTTAGTTTAGCCAAGTCACATGTCATTTGATTATGATGTAAAAATAAAAAGTTGGATTGTGTGAATTTATCGGTTATAATTTATTAGAAATTAATAATTAATTTATAAGTTTGATTCAATAAATTATAACTCTTAGATTAATGAAATCAACGGTTATGATTTGGTGTCAAATTTTTTAATTTGGTATCATATATGTGTGTGTGTGTGTGTATAGTGTTCACTTTTTCTGTAGATAATATAATATCCCTCACCATGAGATTTAATTAATTGCATGTAATTAGGCAATTCATCTTGTATTAGTGGGTTGAATTAGGTAAAATATTTAATTAAATGAATTATGATCGCTTTTGAGGTTAAAAGTGCAGTAAGTAAAAATTATGGGACAAAAATGGATGTAGGAAAAAGTACCCAAAATATAAAAGAAAAATTAGAAATGTTCCTAGAAAAATATTTCAGACCATTGGGTAAAATTTGGTAATGAATGGAGGTGAATAGATAGATAAGCTTTTACCTGATTGAAAGTTACCTACCTTATGTCAAGTGTAAAACAAAGAAACCCACCCATTTGTTTCTTCTTCACCGTACGATAGAGAGAAAGGAAGGAAATCATTGATGAAAAGCTTCAAAACCTAACTTCTCCATCTCTCAACCAAATCCTTTGATTCTTGAACCAATCTTGTTTAGAATTGAGAGGCAAACACAACCCCTAATCCATAATCTACCAAAAAAACCTTGTATTGAGAGAAAAATGGTGGTGAAAGTGGTGACCCACTTGTGATTGAGGAGCTTGGAGAGTGATTTGCTTTGCTTGGAGGCTTGCAATCTCTTCCTTGCATGATCCTAGGTGAGTTCATGTTTAGATACAAGCTTTTCCATTATTTTTATGGTGATGGGTATGTTAGGGTTTTATTTGAAAAAATGTGTGTATGGTGGGGTAGTTTGGAGCTTGATTGAAGCTTGAGCCCTTTGGAAAAGTTGCTTAGAATGATGAGTAATCAGTAAAAATGAGTTTAAGTAGTCATTTGGGCATACTATGATATTTTAAGAATTTATGCTAGGGCTTATGAATGTTCTAGCATTTTGAGCAATTAGTGAATTGGATGATTGATTGTGCCCCTTGTGTTGCTAGGATTGAGCCAAGTGGACTAACTTTGAGTGACCATCCATTGGAGGAAGCTATGGAGCTTGATTAGCTCATTTGGATTGGTAAGTTCATGCCTTACTTGTGGTGTGAATGTGGTTGTTGGTTGATGAATATTGATATATTCTTGGATGCAATAGATTGATTGCATTGCACCTTTGTATAGTGTTTGTTTGTGAAGTTTGATTGTAGTATTGGTGGTGAACAAAGGTTGAGTTGGAAGCAAATTGAGGTAAGCCTTCGGACCTTGAATGTTAATCTCTTCATTGTTCCACCAAGCCTAGAATGGGTAGTAGTTGTTGATAGTGTATGTAAATTCAATAAAGTAGTTTAATGCTTTGTTATACGTATGTGTATGCACTGGGTGTGGCATAAGATGGTGTTTCCCAATGTTTTGTATATTGCATGAAGATGCGTAATTCATACTTGGTAGTTTAGCTGGCTGTAACATCCCGGGCGCTGACGAGGGTGGGGAGTGATCGCCGGTGCGAAAGGGCACAAACAAGGAGCGGCTCCTGGCAGGCTTCTAGGGACGGGGGTACATGAATGAATCGAATCAACACCTGAAAGAGAGGGATTCCAGAGACTGTGCTGGTATGGGACGGTACAGTTGGGAATTGCTTATAAGAATTAATTGGTACTACCTATACTAACAAGATGCATCTACTTTTCGGTAGCCCAGAACGGAAGAACTCCACAGTTAAGCGTGCTTGACTTGGAGCAATTCTGGGATGGGTGACCTCCTGGGAAGTTTTCTCGGGAAGTGTGCGAGTGAGGCCAAAGCACACTGAAAAGTCTCGTGTTAGTGTGTGGGGACAGTCATTGATTCTTGCAAGTTGTCAGGCGTTACAAGTGGTATCAGAGCAGGGCCTCTCTTCCAGTACGGTGTGGTTCGAGGACGAACCAGGCGGAAGCTGGTGGGCATGTAACATCCCAGGCGCTGACGAGGGCGGGGAGTGATCGCCGGTGCGAAAGGGCATAGTGCGAAAGGGCACAAACAAGGAGCGGCTCCTGGCAGGCTTCTTGGGACGGGGGTACATGAATGAATCGAATCAACACCCGAAAGAGAGGGATTCCAGAGACTGTACTGGTATGGGACGGTACAGTTGGGAATAGCTTATAAGAATTAATTGGAACTACCTATACTAACAAGATGCATCTACTTTTCGGTAGCCCGGAACGGAAGAACTCCACAGTTAAGCGTGCTTGACTTGGAGCAATTCTGGGATGGGTGACCTCCTGGGAAGTTTTCCCGGAAAGTGTGCGAGTGAGGACAAAGCACGCTAAAAAGTCTCGTGTTAGTGTGTGGGGACAGTCGTTGTTCCTTGCAAGTTGTCAGGCGTTACACTGGCCAATAAGACTATTTACATTTGAGTATCCTTAGGACAACAAGAGCTCGAGGGATGTCTTCTGGAGATGTTGTACACACTGCATGAATATGTATTTACTGCATTAGTTACTCTATTGCTATAGTACTGCGACATGAACTATGGGATTGAGAGATGCTCCAAGGACCCCTCGTTTACTGAGATGTATTTGTATATCTTCCATGTTGTGGGGACCCCCTTTCAGGTACAGATGCTGCAGGAGCCTCTAGTGGCAAGTATAATAACCCTCACATGTAGTGCGGATTTAATTATAAATTAATATTTTAATCATGATATTGAAGAATAATTATAAGAAAAGTAGAAGAAAAAGAAATAAAGTCATCGTTGGTGAAAAATGAGTTAGAATGACACTTAAGGAGTAAAAATTCAGGTAAATAAAGTTACTCAAAAAGTGAAAGTAAATATGGAAATATTACCATAAAAATATTGTGAACCAATGTGTAAAGTTAGAATGAGAGTTAAGTGAGCAGGATAGATAAACTTATACCCACTTGGTTAGTGAGCTCACTTAAGTTCCTAAAGGTTCCTCTTTTTCTTCATCTTCTGCGCATCATCATCGTAAGAGAAGTGAAAACAAAGAAAATGGGTTTTTGAGAAAAAATTTCAAAAATTCATAGAGAGAGCTAGAAACCTTCAATCCACTTGGTTCCAAAGCCAAAAGTGTGTCAAATCCTCTCCTCTTCACAGCCAAACCATCAATTTCAAGTGGGGATTTTTGTGGAGTGAGATATCACCCCTCTACCATTTCGAGTTTTGAAGAATTTGAGTGATTTTGGGGTGTTTCAACCATAGAAAGCTTGGAAAACTCTCCTCCCCTCATCCTAGTATCAATTGTGGTAAGAAATCTCTTCTCCAATCAAGCTTTTATATGTTTTATGGATGTTAGGTTTGCATGTGAATAGTAACTCGAAAATGGGAATTTTTTAGGAAATATTGATGTGTTGTCTTGTTGTTTCTTTGATGTTTATGGCATAAGATTGAGCAAGGAGACCCAATAATTGAGGAGGATCCATTGGATGTGCCATTAGATTGAGAAACATATTTTTCTCTAAATTTTCAAAGAGGGTAAGTGATCAATATTGAGATAATAAATGGTATGAGTAGTTCAAGGGTGATTTTTAGGTGAGTTCCTTTGTTAAACATGCTTGGGATTGGTTCCCGTAAAAGAAAAAATTATGAAATCGCCATTTAGGACACTTTGATAAATTGGACAAAAAATCAAGTGTAGGTTTCTTGTATGTGTAGTATTGAAAATTAAACGTCGTAGACTGGTATATAGGAATACTGATTGTCTTCACATCTTGGAACTAGGTTGTGACCTTGTCAGAGATCGTGACGTTGTGGACACGAGAATTAGTGGAGGACACTGCTTGCCAGGTAAGCTTTCGGTCCTTGGAGTTAATCCCTCGTTTGTTCCACCAGACTCCGAGGGAGGAGGGTAGTTTGATATGGTATGTGAAAATGATGTTATTTATTGCATGTATATGTATGTATGTTGTGTGCCACACAATACGATGTTTCCTTGTGTGAGGCATAAGACAGTGTTTCTTTATGCATAGTATGAGACGGTGTTTTCTCATACGGTATGTTGCAAGACGATGTTTCCTTGCGTAATGCGTACTTGTTATATTCTCTGGCCAGTAGGATTACATTATTGCACACTGCATTGTCATACATATTCTGATGCATGCATGGATTTTTATACTGTGTTTATACCAGAAGTGAGCTTAGGGGTGGAGGAGCCCTCCAAGGGTCCCTAGCTTACTGAGATAATTATATTATCTCACCCCGTGTTATGAGGATCACCATTTCAGGTACAGGAGTTGATGGTGCTGAGGCATAGCGTGGCAAAAAGCCAGACGAGAGATATTACCTAACCTGATAGTCAGGATTAGCTTGTTATACTTATACATGGTTTTATTTTGGATATGTACCTATATTCCATGTCACTATTATGAGAGCATAGGAGATGTCTATGCCATGTTGATAGTTTATCTATTTTGTTAGTTATGTATAGCCTACGTCATGGATGGCTGAGTAATAGGTTGTATGCCTGGATTTAATTAAACTGTCAATCAGGTTGAAATTTTCATAGTGGGAATTATCCCCAGTGGTCCAAAATACAGAGGAAATGCTAT